ACAATATACTGTCAATCAAAGCTGAAGTTGCCAGGCCTCCTGGAAAAACCCTGTCGATCTAAGCTTGTCATTTCAGTTGGCGAAATTGACACTCTTCAAGGACCCACATCACTCGGTTATCAGATGCGGGCCATTATCAAACATTATGACATCAGATGTCACCGGTTGAGCGGATGAAGACGACATACTGAGATCATCGTTCTAGTATGACGCATAAGACTAAGCAGATGAAACTTCGTATAGATATCGTACAATTTAGAATATATAATTATTTTATGCACTTACTTAGACCGGTCGTATAACTACAACGTAAGGAGTAAACGCCGCTTTTTATGTTTACTATGACGTACGTTTTCTGGCCTAATGTCGCGTAAATCTTGAAACTTTGCTATACTTAAAAAATAAGCTGAAATGAATTTGCCCTTGAATATGACACGGTGGCAACGATCTGTTGACTTTTCCGGCAAACGGGGCTTAAGGCAGCTTACTACCAAATATCAATAAGGCAGTTAACTCACTCTTGAATACTATTTAAATCAATCAAAAATTAGTTCAATAGATTATACATAAAAATGTTCCTTGCATAGTATACAGTCTAAGATGCTTTTTCCTAAATATAATATTTAAAAAATATTCAAAATCAACACAGGAGGCACAGAATGTGGATGGAAGGTGAATACGAACTGTGTGACCCAGGCCAAGCGGTCCAATAGCGATATTAGCTACATGTCCTTCCGCGTACCGTCTTCATAACTCGCTCCGTTTCTCGTAGTCTTTAAGTACAGCCCTGTATAGTTCTACGTCGATTCCACCAGTCACTTCACAAATATAATGTTTTCGGCACTGTTTTACAAACTTGATCCCTCGCGTGCCCCACGGAACAAACTGAAGAGAAATCAGACCGCAGGACCTGACTGGCCACTGGTTGTCATCGCCACGTATTAGGACCAGCTGGCCTACGAATCTCGTTTCGAGCGGATAGACTGTTTTTCTCACTGCACGGCAGATTAGGCTATCTTATTGGAACTAAACGTTGTTTGTATCCAACGTTCTCATTTCAGGCCCAAATTTGTTTGTAACATACCGGAGAAAAGCACTCTATTGACTATTGCCTCCGACGTTTCATCGTGATTTTTGAAGGAAAAAGAGCGTCACAAACAGACTTGCTGAGCACGACGTCACCTTGAGGTTTCTGTATTCGTATCCATAGCGGCATTGTGAGTTAATCGTACCGTTTGTCGTCTCTGCGTGATACTTGTGAAAAATGACCGCAGTTAAAACCCGATAATTCGATAGTTAGCTATTGCAAAAAAAAACAAACGCTCTCCCAAACTGTAGTTCATTCTCGCACCTAGCATATGCTGTTTCGTAACTAGAATTGCGCCGTTACATTAAAAACGCGATTTACTTACGTAGTTTTAGCTATTTAAAAAATACTATTATATACACAAGATAGTCAAAAGTTGTGTAAGAAAAATTAACATTAGCACTTCCCGCGTAAAAGTTAAAAAAAAAACTCATTGTTATTATTGCCTTCATATCAGTGGTAAATGGCAGCACATAGATTTTCGAATTAGTCAGATTGAGTATATGACCGCAATTCTGTTCGTTATCAACTGGTGACGCCTGCGCAATTGTACGGGACTCAAGTTTTGGTAGCTACCAAACATTAAATTAACCATATGGATTGCTCAATTAACTAGATAATATTGGCCGAAGCACGTGTTAAATGAGTCCGATTCGCGGTTTTGGAATTCAGGCCCTCACTGCCAGTAGACGAGTACAGTTTACTTATTGAATTAATTAGACATTAGACAATAATACATAAGAGTTAAAATAACGCACACATATTGAATCATTCTGAAACGTAGCTCAACAAGGCTTATCGCACATTTCGCATTCAGAAAATCTTGGCCATCTTCGAAACGCATTATAATGCCGCAAATCAGTAGACAAACAGTCATGTAATTTAAGGACACCACAATGACCCTAAACTATCACAAGAGCATTGCAGCGCTGCAGCCAATGCTTTTGAAAAGAAGGCTAGTCACTGTTACAACATAATAACATTATTATTTGCAGTTACACACCTCAAACGATGTAAGGCATGAGGTACCAAAATCGCGCTTGAGATTCAGGACAATCAAGAGGGTAGCTCGAAACTGACACACCCTCCCGATAACTACCGCGAGAGCGGCCTATACGCGTTACTGAAACAGACGCAGGACACGTATTGCTTGTGTCTCTCCTATCGAAGAAGTATTTCAAATTTAATATTAAACCATACTCCAATAACAGGCTATCCGGTACGATGCTAAACAGCTAACTTTCTTCTATCACTACGGGTTCGTTCGATCTTTTCGAACACCTGTTCAATCTATTAAGTAAAAAAGAGAACTTTTGACATGATGAGAGAGCTAGTTGATGACAGCAGGCGATTTGCCCCGGTCTTCTTCTAGGACTAGAAAGGTCTCCAGTGTCCACCAACCTCCTATAATTGTCGTATACGTTGCTATTCATAGGTTTTGCCGCGTTCTTGTGCAAACAAGAAGTTCATTGTTTGTTGAATTCAGAATTGAGCAAACGCGGGGACTTTTTTGCTGTAACGGTACAACCAATAAATGCCACAGTACTATGCGCTCACACATGTAAAAGTTGTGTTGAGGACATCCTACCATACCATATATTCTATATGTGTATATACCATATATTCTATATGTATACTGTGGATCAGACAGCCTACAATGGGTGGAACAGCCAAACGAATCACTGGCAAAACAAAGCTCGGGACCAATAAAACGTCACTATTGATGGCTATCTACCGTTTCAAAGAAAAAAAAGAGGAAAGCATACGGAAGCAGAGACTGTAACATAGGTTGTTAAAAAAAAAGCCAATAAATTTCGATCATTTCGTTGATTGGCACATGATTATATTGTAGATCCCTGCAGATATGTATTCTTACGGTATATTTGTTCGTTATCTGAGGTAATTCTTCTCATCGAGCACTGCTAGTGTTAGCATAGGCCGACTGATTTGATGAGTAACCAAGCGCGGATAGAGAATAACTATTGAAGTGAGGTTTCTATGTAAGCTCGTAATGTGTCTATAAGACATTTTTATCGAGTGATAAAAATAAAAACATTCGTCTAAATCTATCTAGAACGAGGAAGCAAAAAAAAGAAGAATCAATAGGTACATTACAGTTCCGCACACACAACCAGTTAAGTGGCAATGCTGTATACGAGACAACAGATTGCATCGTTTGATCCAATGTCTGCGCTTATAAGTTCACTACAAACGTGACAGGTATCCGAACTCCGATTGTTTGCTAAAATACTTTATCTATCGTAATAAGCGGAGTAAGCGTACGCTTATTTTCTGTGCGTCTTTACAACAGTGGCGTACCGCAAGCTACTCTACCATTGGTTTATATCAATGCCGAACAGGTTGGACGCAGTGAGGTTTCCAGCTTTGGATACAATTTGGATGGTGCTACAAGAATTCCGCGTTGGAATAAGCAGTGCGCTGAAGGATATAGAGGAATTAAGTTACGGGAATGGTAGTTGATCTGTGAGAGACCAGGCAAAAAAATGGCCACATCGATAGCATTCAGTCGGCTCATTTTCAGGCGCCATGTGGGTAAATTTAAGTACTAGCGATGAGCTACTAGGGTTAATGGTCAAATCTGACTGGTCGGGTTTCCCCTCAATTGCTACTTACCAAACTTATCCGTAAACGTCTATTGCCTCCTTTTATCTATTGACTAAGTTAAGTAGTTGTTTGTTGCTATCATTTAAAACCTGTTTATTTTTACATTTGTTAGTTACTTTCCAATGTCCTGAAAACTGTAGCTCCTTGCCCGCATGGTTTACACACTGGACATGAAATCCTGAGAACATTAATAGTCCATTAAGGATAGAAGGACGTGTGACCATAGGCCCGTTGGTTCAGAAGAATATACGAGGACAACAATTGCACATGAAGTTTTATCAACTTTAAATGTAAATTTATAGTTTCTCTATAACATAAACAAAGCTACTTTCTGAGCTTCCCAGCGAGGACAAGCTACAGATGCGATTGCTTAACATTCACAGAATGCGCAAAACATGCAACTACTGCTACATTACTTGCATAATAACGGTATTGAGAAATTAGGGCCATACTAGTCTACGATAGATCCTCTATAATCCTTTAACTATCTGTCAGGCCACATACGCGTTCTGTCCAGGCTGCATCGGAAAGGACGACTCCACAGAAGAATCCCTTAGTTTTGAAGCTGTCATAAATATCGCTTGTAAGACCTAGCGTAAATTACTTCTGCTTTGAGGTACCGAAACGTTGTCATTATCATCGGGCTACGTGGGCGATTTCTCGACATCCAAATGGATTACATCGGGGATGAAAGAAGGAGCCGGGAAGCAGTACGGGTATACCAGTCAAGCAAGCAGACTAGTTACCATTAGAGTAAATATTAGCTATAGCAACACAAAAGGAGGAACAGAGAAGGCCCATAAAGGCTTTAGGTCTCTTAATAAATTGTCTTGTACGGTGAGGATTACGTGAGCAGGTAAGTGATATAACAGGCTACATA